CTGCTTCTCCCTCTCCCTCTGCTGCTCCCTCAGGGATGGAGGACAGAACAGAAGCCTTAACTTTTAAAAACGTGGTAATTAGGACATTGGCTCTTCCTTTGTGCCCTATGCCCCCGCTTGTGTGCTCTCTCTCTCTTGGACAAATAAATAAAATATTTTAAAAAAATAATAAAATAAGCATATAATGTAGTTATATACCCAAATTCAGAATAGTGCAAATCCTATTATATGGTGATACATTAACCACTTACTTCCAGCATCAAGGTTAAAGGACAAAAGTACTGAGAATAACTATAGCCACCATAATTTTTAAAGGACACACAATGTGAAAAATAAATTGTGACATCAAAAACGTAGAACATATGGGGGAGAGTAAAGTTAAGTTGCTTATCAGCTTACATTAGACTGTTATATCTAGATGATGTTTTATGTAAGTCTTACGATGACCACAAAGCAACAGTAGATACACAGAAGATACAAAGACAGGAATCAAAGCACACCACTACAGAAAATCATCAATACACAAAGCGCAACACGATACCTGCAGAACATCGAGAAAAGAATGAGATGGCATTAGTGAGTCCTTGTCTATAATAATTATCTAAGACATGAGTGGATAAATTCTACAATGAAAAGGCAGAGTGGGGGTGCGTTGGTGGCTCAGTCGTTAAGCATCTGCCTTCGGCTCAGGTCATGGTCCCAGGGTCCTGGGATCAAGCCCCACATCGGGCTCCCTGCTCAGTGGGGAGCCTTCTTCTCCCTCTCCCGCTCCCCCTGCTTGTGTTCCTGCTCTCGCTATCTCTCTCTCTGTCAAATAAATAAATAAAATCTTAAAAAAAAAAAAAAAAGGCAGAGTGGGTGACTGCATTAAAAAAATTACCCAAATAGGGTGCCTGGGTGGCTCAGTTGGTTAAGCAACTGCCTTCGGCTCAGGTCATGATCCTGGAGTCCCTGGATCGAGTCCCACATTGGGCTCCCTGCTCAGCGAGGAGCCTGCTTCTCCCTCTGACCCTCCCCCCTCTCATGTACTCTCTCTCATTCTCACTCTCAAATAAATAAATAAATCTTAAAAAAAAAAAATTACCCAAATATACCCTACCTACAAAAGATTTGCTTCAGCTTTAAAGACACATACAGACCCAAAGTGGTGGGACAGGAAAACATATTCCAGGTCAACGGCAATCCTGAGAGAGCAGAGGTAGCTATACTTCCATCAGACAAAACAGACTTTAACTCAGAAATTATAACAAGTAACAGGACCATTATACATTGACACAGAGGTGAGTTCATCAAGAAGACAGAACATGTGTAAGTATATCAAACAATATGATACTCAGACTAAAATGAACAGAATATTTTATAATGACAGAATAAGGGAAGACTTCCAAAATAAAATTAAAAACATGATAGCATGAAGTAGAGATTTCTATTTCACTGTATAAAGATTATAACTAAAATAGATCAAAGTGCACACACATGTGTACGTATAACTGTGTGTGTGATAAAACTAGAATACAAAATATTTTGTAAAATTACATGAAAAATGAGCCAAGTAGGAAAATTAATTTACATGGACATGTCTATAAATACAACTGTATTAATAACATTTATTCAGTAATCAGTGAAATATAAAGTTATTTTTCCTTATATACATAAAAATAAAGAACGTAATAATGAGTCCTTTTTGCAGTTGAGTGAGAAGCCCACATTTTGGTGATGGTTGACGGTATCACTGCGACTCTAGGCAGGGTCTGTCTTGCCAGAATCTATCAAACCATGAATGCACCATACTTCACACCAGCACTCAGACTCCATCTTGCCCAGAGCATAGGAGCACATGGAGCTCCTCAGAGAAGTCACTGTGCTTAGAGGCAGCCACTGAACGATTCTTTACAAATCCAGTAACGTAAGGTCTCTGGAATGTATGTGTTGTGAGCTATTTTTAAAACTCCTACTGTTAGACATTTAGGTTGAGTTCCTTTTTTTTTAAGATTTTATTTATTTATTTGACAGAGAGAGCACAAGCAGGGGAAGTGGCAGGCAGAGGGAGAAGCAGGCTCCCCGCGGAGCAGGGAGCCCGATGTGGGACTCGAACCTAGGACCGTGAGATCATGACTTGAGCTGAAGCAGACGCTTCACCAACTGAGCCACCCAGGCGCCCCTGATTTCATTTTTAAAAAGCAACTGTGGAATAAAACCCATCCCATCATGTGGATTAAATGAATGCAACCTTGATTTTCATGATCAGTTTCTGCATTCTCCCACTTTATTCCAAGTAATTAATATTTTGAGGCCAGATCCACACGGGCTCACTTTGCTAAGGTTGGAATGCATTATAAAGTCAGGGAGATCAAATTTTCCATTACCAATCTTATTTTCCAAGATTTTCCAGCAATTCCTGCACATTAATTAGTCCTTATTCATAGAGAATTGGCAGGGCATCCTGCTTTGGTCCCTAGGAAATCCCTGCTACCCTACCTCATTGAAACCATAGTACTCACCCCATCTCCAAACCCTATCTGAACATGAAGTCCTTCCAACGATTCAATGGAAATGCTTCACAAGTTTGATGTCAGTGGTTCATGGTGAGATGGAATCTGTCTAGAGATGGAAGAGGGTTCAGAAAACACCACCAGCGACTGTGAGCAAATGTGTTAGGTAGGGTACTTGAGAGCTGAACATTAGTAGGGTCTAAAATCGCATTTCAGAGGGAGAGGACATAACGATCAACAGAGAATATAATTTTTCTTCTAAGAAAGAGGCATTCCTGACTCCTGCTCATCTTCCTTCTTGTCTGAGCTTCCTTCCGAGGCAAGATCACTCTTGACTCACTCCTGAGTGTTGAGACTATGCCTTTCAAGGCTTGGAATCAATACATCTTCTTGTGCCACAACCATACATATCGGGAGTCCTCTTTCTACTGAAACATGGGGACACCTCCCACACTCCTACACTGTATCATATGGATGGAGGTTTCTGTGATTTGTCCCGCAGAACCTTCCACCCTGACCTGCACGAACGCAGGCAGGCTAAACAACGATGTGTGTGAGACTCCTGCTGCATGAGTGACCTCGGGAGCCTGGTTAGTGGACATTAGCTGGCTTCCAGGTCAGAACGGGCCCTTCTGGTCTGGACGCCAAGAGCTGTAAGTCTTGCCTTACATCCCCTCCTGCTCCAGGCTGGGCTGTACCCCCGGAATGGAATCTGGGAGGGAGGCAAACAAACACAGCCCAGACTCCTTGACGATGCAAAGACGTGATAACGCAGAAATGCAGCTCACTCCAAACTGCACGTAGGCAAACAAATGTTTACCTTCAGACCCCGTCCTGTGCCCTATAAATACAGCCCTTGTGGGGATGGTCAGTGGGAAGTTTCAGCTGAGGGGAGGACGGAGGACGCTCCGCCCAGGCCTCTCCACCGAGACTGCAGCCCGGCTGTTTCCACAGGGCTTCCCCAGCTGATGAGGTTGGATGTTCTAAGTACCCGAGTTGATGTAACTTTGTCTTGTTCTCCTTTACTGCTTACTCCTGCCCTCATCTATGTGCAGATCTCCCTTTTCTTCTTTCGGTTTCTATTAGATTTTTATAGTATCAATGGAGTGTTTTTTCCCCTTTGAAGCGGAGAACAGCTGCCATGAATCTTTTCTTCAAAACTTGCATCGACAAGAAACTTCAACATGGAGACCCAGAGTTTGGTTTTCCTGTTTCTTCAGAAAGTCTTCCTATCCTAGTGAAACCCACATGTCACTTGGCAGCAGTGGGCATGTGACTGAAATCAGACACTGAAGACTCCGCTGGTACCTGCTGAGCATAGATCTCCAGGTGAAGACAGGCAGAGATCTTCACTCCTCCTATTTTGGAGCTTCCCAGTGTCCCACCCACTCCTGGCTCCTTAACCCCCTTCTGCATTCTTCTTTTCCTTCCCCAAGCTCAGGACACATCACTGGGTGCCCCTCTTCTTGGGAGAGACACCTATGTTCTGTGCTCAGTGTAAACAGCCTTGCTCCTCACCTACCCAACTGCCCTGGAGCCCTGTTCATGTGTGTTGGGACAGGCAAGGAGGTCAGCAGAAGCTGCAGGCTGCAACCACCGGCACCCTCGCAGGAACAGGCTGTCTCTGCCCAGCCCTACCTCCACAGATTACAGGCCGTATCTCATACTCCTCAGCAACTTCTCTCTCATGGTTTTAATCATAATGATCTCAAGTAGTTCTCTCTGCTCAAACATCACATTAGACTCTCAGAAAATATGAAGTTAAGAACGAATTACTGGCACTGGAAATCATGAAGGATAGCCACCCATGTAAACAGCTCTATGTGATGTATTCATCCTGAACAGATGGGCTTTGTTAGAACAAAACATCCCTGTCATCCAGCCCATCCTTGAACATTCACTAAGAAAGGATAAAGGGAGCACATACTTAGTGGGAAACTTCAGTTCACAGCCCACAAGGTTAAAAGATCACATAAAGAAAATGTATTATTTGACAAACTGCTTAAACAAAACTTTGGTGATGCCAAAATAAAAAATAAAAATCACTATCCTTAATAAATGCACATTGAAAGAGTGGAAAATTATTAAGTTCCAAAGAATATTTTCAGCATACAACAAAGAGCGGAAAACTACTGAGTCTTCATAATCCGAGTGTGACACTATAAATGTAGAAGATAAAAAACAAACTATGACTCTGGTGTCTAACCCTTCGGTCGTCCGCCCCTCCTCCATCTCTATGCTGAGCCCCTTTCTGTCCCTTCTCCGTGCTGCTTGCCCAGATCGCTGTCCTTCACCTTCCGAGGGTGCTCCCCTACCGTCAGCCCCTCTGCACCCCCACCAAGGTGCACACGAACCCGTCACCCACTCTGCACCCCTTCCCCAAGTGCACACGGGCCGTCACCCCTCTTCACCTTCTCCCCCAAGTGCACACGGGCCGTCACCCCTCTTCACCTTCTCCCCCAAGTGCACACGGGCCGTCACCCCTCTTCACCCCCTCCCCCATGTGCGCACGAACCCGTCATCCCCTTCCCTGCGCCCTCCCCCACGTGCACACGGACCCGTCACCCCTCTTCGCCCCCTCCCCCACGTGCACACGGACCCGTCACCCCCTCCCCTGCGCCC